ACTCTAGGATTTCATTTCACTCTAGTCAGAAGAGTAGTTATCAAGAAAACATGCAAAAATTAGTGTTGGCGAGGATGTAGAGGAAAAGGCACATTCATACATTGCTGGTAGGACTGCAATTGGTACAGCCAATCTGGAAAACAGTATGGAGATTCCTCAGAAAACTTGGAATGGAACCACCATTTTGACACAGCTATCCCATTCCTCGGTCTATTCCCAAAGGACTTAAAAACAGCATAATATTGGGACAAAGCCACATCAATGTTTATAGCACCACAATTCACAACAGCTAAACTGTAGAACCAACCTAGATGCCCTTCAATGGATGAATGGATCAAGAAACTGTGGTATATATACACAATGGAATATTACTCAGCAGTAAAAGAGAATAAAATTATGGCATTTACAGGTAAATGCATGGAGTTAGAGAATACCATGCTAATCGAAGTAAGCCAATCCCCAAAACCAAAGGTCGATTGTTTACTCTGATAAGTGGACACTAATCCATAATGGGGACAGGGGGATGGGTTGAGTGGAGGAACTTTGGATTGGCCAAAGGGGAGTGGGCATGGGAATAGAAAAGATTATGGAATGAGATGGTCATCATTACCCTAGGTACATGTATGATTGCACGAATGGTGTGATCCTACTCTGTGTACAACCAGAAATGAAAAATTGTGTTACATTTGTGTACAATGAATCAACGAACATTCTGCTGTCATGTATAATTGATTAGAACACATAAATTTTTTAAAAAGTTATTTATGTAATTATATTTAATATCATTTGTCATTTATGGGAGACTATCAAAGTGCCATTGAAGAAATTCATGTGAAACTTTATTACATTTAGGTTAAGCACATTAAAAAGAGGTACAGGTCCCATATTCTTTGACAAATCCTAAACTTACTAGTATATATTGATATATTTTTAAAAATATCTTTAAATTTCTATATTTAAGTGGAAAATATGGATTCATTCAAAGATAAATTCAAGCCAGGAGTGGTTGTAATCCTAGGTACTTGGGAGGGTGAGGCAGGAGAATCAGAA